TGAATTGAAATCTTGCTACCATTGACCATTATAATTACTGCTCCTCTCAGGGTTGAGCGCTCCCAAAGATTTATTCTATTCAAGTTCAAGAAGTATGTATGTATGTAATGTATTTTACTTACCAACATCCAGACACATATTCCTGAGATTCCAGCGATAAGGAGAGTGAAAACGAATATGGGCCAGGTGTTTACAAGCAAGGTATCAAAGACAATGTCATTGGATTTTTGGTTGAAATTTTCGACGTCCATGATGAGCGAATATCCGGAGGATTTTATGAATACCTCAAATATCAAAAGTGGTCCCAAGTAGCTGTCACCAGACAAAACCATCTTCATTGGGGCTGTTATTGGGAAGGCGATATCTGTTGTATTTCCCTCTATGGCCGATACGAAGTTTGCTGTAGAGTTAAACAGGCTCTTTTCGATCGTGACATTCCTGGATACTGATTTGCATTCTGGAGTATCTAGAAAACATTTCTTTTGAATTTCAGTGAAAAACTCTCCCAATATGCCTTCCACCTCACCGGACTTGAACTCGGTAAATGGAGGATCGTTGAGAATAGATATCCTAATTCCAGTTCGTGGAATAGGACAAGTGCCAGTGCGAGGCGGCGGGGATGCCGAAGACGTTAGGACTGGCTTCCAAAACAGTACAGCGGTACATATTAAGGCTGCTGAACTGCTCCACGCCGGGGTCATCTTCTGTGAGGCAGCTTTTCTGATCTTTAAGACTGCAAGAACAAACCAAGTCAGTAATTCTCTAAGAATGGAGCTTCCCAGAAATGTTAACTAGATTACACTAATATAATTGAGAATGTCTAGGACTTCCAGTCAAAAAGTAAAGAAGAAGGGTCATGGACTACGCTAAGCGCGAGTACGCGTGCGACACGAACACCGGGAACTCGAGATAGTTACACTGTCTTACTCTTTTGCCACTATTTCATGTTATCAAGACATCAGAATTCTCAAATAATGCCAGAAACGTGCTACTATTTATAACTTTGGAACTATTTCGCCTGTGCCAGACAGCCACAGATTCATTTGGAACACCGATATTTGTTTTACTCAACTAACTACTCAACTAACTATTCAACTAACTACTCAACTAAGTACGACGAAACAGTGCCACAGCCTCACTAGTCAAATTTAATATTAAGAGACGTGCCCGAAATAACTACAACCCAGAAGAATTAAACGGATTTTGCAAAGTTTTTTTCGTAATTTTACGGAATTTACCTGATGATGTTTCCTTTGAGCACTAAAGCTTTGTTCTCAGCACGTTTTCAGTGGTAAAATAGGGAGCCACCTTAATTATGACAGAGTGAACTTTTCAGTTTTTGAGTCATCTCCGAAGTGAATTACCATATATAAATGGTAACTCTTCTCTTTATTATAACTGTTGTCGACTTAAGCGAGTGGCAAAAACTGGGAAAACAATTTTTCTACTTCTCAAATAACATATTACAGTAAAAAAGTGCTTTCTAGAAAAATGAAAATAACAAAATTTTATCATCCTTGTCACGATTATCATATAGCAGGTGGACATATGCAGTTGTTGTTTTTATCTCAGTTCTATGTTAAACACGAATTGCACTGACTGCCACTCTTGTATTGTTTCGCTACCTTTTTCGTCCTCTCTAAGCGATTTGCGGCCTTTAAGCAAAAGAGTTTTTCCTCCTGAATACCATTTTTTTTCTTCGTGAATAAAAAGGAAATACCTGCTCATTAAATAAACAGGGCCGATCGATTCTTCTCTTTTTTTTGTATTAATTCCGTTTATATCAACTGAAATACTTCTACGGTCTTTTGTATTGTTTCGCTTTGTTTTAAGCTGGTGGGTTTATATCGTTTTCTGCATGAAACTTTGGTCTTAGACTGAGATGGATCACCCACGTTTTCCGAGCATTCAGTTTATAATTTTCTCTGTGATAAAACAAACACGCTGGACTCCCGAGGATCAACAATATTCTCGTTGACTTGGAGAATTAACACTGACTGAGGTTGTTGGGCTAAAATGTACCATGAGCTGAATAATTCATTGGTAGGAAAGAAAAAACATTAGAAAAATATTTCATTGATTGATATTCAAATGTCGGTCTATGAGTTTTAATTTGTCACAGGTCCTTGACAGCTGTTATATTGCTCGAATTGGAATTAGTTTTTCGCATCCTTTAAAAATAGTCCTAGGGGTCCTTGCAGAATTATAGAATCAATAGTCAGTACCAGTCTGCGGTTTTATATCGTCTGGGTTTACCTCAATTATTTGCGAAAGAAAGTTTTCGCTTATATGTATCATACATGCATTACCCGCCTTCAGTATCGTCGCTTTAACAGTGATGCATTAGCATATTTCGTTGCCGCGACGTCGACATCGATAGACCATCCACCTAGCTTCAGGATTCGGACGGATTTTACCCGGCACTAATACCAGACCATCTCGTTGTCTAAACTTGAGCTGTCTTAATTTCGTGATCGTTATGCGTGAGTTAACCTGCCGTTATTGCCTTCACTGATGAATAAATGGCGACTCTCCAACTAACTTTCTCGTTCACAAAATTTGAAGTTGCTTCATCGTGGTGCCAGAGGGGTTCACGACGTAGTCAAATGTATGTTTATATAAGTCTAACCTGGCATAAATACACAAAGTTACCAATTCATTATTAATAGCATTTATATTTTGAGCTAATTTGACCCCGTACAAAATTACCTTTAAACTGAAGAAAACCTGAAAATAGTACTTTACTAAGATAGAAAAACCCCGAAAAGATAAAAACAAAAACCATGAAGGAAAAAGGATGGTTAAGGATGGAGAAGATTAACACGGATTACAAACGACGAACTTGACAAATGTAGGCTAAGCTTTTCGAAGATGCGCAAACCGTGACTTAGCTCCTTTAACGTTTTCGACCGTTGAGATCATCATCAGGTGATCGCAATGGCCGAAAACGTTTAGCGTACATAGTTTTAACAGCTTTTTACACAAACTTATCATATATTTTTACTTAATGTAAGTTCTGACTGAAGGCAGTATTTAGTACAAGATAAGACCTAGCCGTTAACAATATTAAACACGAGAAATCACGCCTAAGGCGAATTAACCATAATCGAGGGTCTTTTATTGCAGTTGCTTGCGATGTGGGAAATTCTTAATATAATGCAATAAATTAAATAAAACGACGAAGTGTTATCCTTGCAGAGTGACTTAGGGAAATGTGTGTCTGAGTTGGTAGTCACTCATGATCGGTGTAGGTTGGAAACACTTGAATATATATTACTGGCGAATACCTATGCTTCGTGACACTCATTGCGCCATACCGAAATTCTAACTTGGTTGGTAATGAATCGCGATGCATTATAGATTGGCAAATCTATATCTTAGACTTTTGAAAAGAAGACGATTACTCATCAAAAAAACCTGACGCTTTTACATTGCTTTCGGTTCAGCTGTCATTGGGTTAATTCATTACATTTACTCAAAGTGGCGTTTCTGTACGACGTTCAGCATAGAAATATATTGAAAGCTTTCAAGTTTGCAACAATTCAGTGATTTCGGAAATGAATGCTATTGATTAAGGCACATATAATATAATTGTAGCATCCCGATAAAAAATTTAAATGCCAGGTAAAAACAAAAGTCGGAAATTTGAAATAAAAATTTCTTACTTTTTAAATGAGCGCATTTGTCCAATTCTTAAGTGGAATTCGCTATAAACGAGCATAGATCTAAAGTTTAAGTTGCGTGGCTAACAATGAATGCCAGGTCAATAACATAGTCAAAACAACAGCTTGCTCAAATCGTTCGTGAGGTAAAGAAGTACGTTTTTCTGCAGGCAGCAACTCACAATAATCAGTTATTTATTTACATGAAAGTCGAGTAAGGCCTACATACCTTCGTACCTTAGAGATTTCCGACCACAGCTCGAGCACGTTTTAGGACAACCGAAGCCTTCTGTCAACTGAATTCAATTTTCTACAATGCCCCGCGCTTATGAGCAGCACGGGGTGTCATTCATTCAACCGTTGTTGACATTGTATATATATTTCAATTAGCTATGCAACACTTACCATAACAGTTCCCGTGGCTATTGCTGTGGACACAGGTCTGTTTAGGAGAGGCAAGTCATTGTGAATGTTTCCCTTCATAACAAGTGGCGACAAGCCGAGATTATAAGTGGGTTTTTGCCAGGTTTTATTGGTAACGAAAATTGTGCTAAAAAGAACGTAATATTTAAAGCAAAATATCTTTCTTTTTTCGTCCAAAGGTGACTAATTTACAAAGATCATACTTGATGGGACTCGCTCTTTTTATAATCGCGATAATATTTCGATTGTAAGTCAAAGCAGGATCTTATAATTAATATTCTGGATGAATAATAGGAACTGAGTTATTATCTTTCGATACAATAGACCCTGTAATTATTATAGGAACTACGTCATTTTTCTAGAATGGAAAACAGCGCATCGTGTCAATCGTCCGCAAAATTTCATTACAAAATTCTTCTTGAAAAAATCATCCCACTTTCTTATTCTTCGACGGTTTCCTTCGTTATTTGCTGGCAAATCAAGAAAACCCTCCGTGAAGAAATAGTGCTATTTTACAAGATTGTATTCCAGAACAGACCGTGAATACAATAAACTTATTATTAATTTCTATCCGAAATGCGTTGTTATTAACACAGCGGTTAATAATGCGCTGTTATTAACACAGCGGTTAATGCCTCGACCGGTCGATTTGGAAGGAAATAAGTGATCTTGCTGCTGGCAAATAATGGATTGTGTCGATGTTGACGTCAAGCTATCTATCCTAAAATTATGACATGAATATAATGTCAAGGTTTATTTTCCACAAAGAATGGCTTCATGAACTGAAAAATCGGATAGAAMCGGCTAAACGTCAGTTACGATACTGCACAGAATCAATTAATGCAACTTATTATTAAGCAAAATCATGTCATTTTCCATTGGTGTGAAAATGACACATTCAGCTAATTTGCATATTCAGAATTAGCCTCTTGAGAAATTTACTGTGACTATAGCTAGCGTGGTGGTGTTTACTGGCATTAACAAAATTTAACTTCCCGCCTCGATAATACCACAATCCACTGATTTACTCAAACAAAACGTTAATGCTCAAAACATCCGCATCAAAAATTCTTCTTGTGTAAAGGTTCCTTTATTCGACAAATGGCAAAGAGCCCTGGAGATTTATCTAAAATATTTATCTAAGCGTATATTATTGTATAAACTATAAAGACTCTCACCTTCTTAACACTAAACTGAAGTCTGACACCTGTGAGGCATTGTTTACACTCACTGCATGATCCTAGCCCAAAATAAAAAAGCTTTTATACATCATTGCAAAGTCCCCATATATCAGGTCTATATATTCCATCGTCACGACGTTGACTTAAACACGAAAAACAAACACTACTGTCTTGTGTTACCATGGAAAACTCGCCACAAGATTCTAAGTAAACTGGTGTGTGTCCCCAATTAGCAGCAATGCTAAATACCCCAGACACGTTAATAAAGGTTTTTGTTGTTGTTGTTGTTGTTGTTGTTGTTGTTGTTGTTGGTATCTTGCCAGTAAAGGCCTTCCGTCAGTTAAGTTTACATCAAAGGCAAATTTTACATATCTAATGAAAAAGCACTACGTTTCCTAGAGACTAGCGTCTGGAAAACAAATCTGTTCCTACAAGAGTAATTGCCTCAAGTAACAAACCATATGAAGGTTATACTAATCTTTATCCGTAGGAATTCTGTTGACACAACTTTTGTTATTTGTCTTGTACAGAAAAAAAGCAAACAATAGAAATTAAATGAAATCGTCCAGGGTAACTCCAATGTCTTAAATTATAGAGTCTCTACAAGAGTTTACTGAAGACCAGCTTCTTGTGAATTGTAAAAACAAGAGGTGACAAAGTTTTAATGCTTCAAGTTTTTCAGCAATTGTCAGGCTAAGCAAGTCTTAAATGAAAAATGAAATTAAAACGAAATTATTCAACTCCATGGCCAGGTTGTTCAAAGCCTGACTAAGCTAACCCAGGATTAGCAAGAATTTTGATTTAATTTCTGTAACTTTTCGGTGAGGTTTCCTGTTTATATTGTATATGTCCTTAGCTTCAGTTTTCAGTTTGAATGATCTCAAACTACACAAAACATAAGTAGTAAAGTACAGCTTTATACAAGAAAAATTAATGCTTTGGTGAACTTTTTATCGTGAGTTCCCGTTAACCAGCTCTCGAACAACCCGGCCCTGGGTCTCAATGTTTTCCGCCATCTTAGTTTTGAAAGCCAGGAAAGGCACTGGGGGCAAATTGAAATAAGAAAGTGCGCGGGGAGTTATGGGTTGGAGTTAGAGACTTTCTCCTCCCCACTCTCCACTCAACCCATCATTACTTAGAGTAGACTAAACTCCTCCAACTTTCCCTGGTGTTATCTTCCAGTAACGGATAATGACAAACAAACAAATCTCTTACGTCTTACTAATAAAAATATTAATAATAATTACAAGAGTATTAAGCATCGAATTTCTCCTTTTGATATCATCTCACTGGCAACAAAATATGTGGCTTCGTATTCTACAGTATGTTTAGAAAATATAGGGAAGGTATCAAGTTTCAATTCCCAGCCGGAACTTAATTACGATTTGATTTAATAGAAAGTAAGTGAGATTAAGCACAGTTTCCAAATTTCAATACCCTTTACAAGAGAAAATTTATCCCTAGATCCATTTTTTTTGAAATAAGTAAGAGGACTGAATAAAGTTCAGACCGCGGTTGATGGGTGGTGGCAAGGTTCTCAAATTATTAAAGCCCGATTCAAAGGAAATGATAGACTGAGATTCAACTTCGAAGATGACCCCCAGGAGACAAATTTAAATAAATAAGGCATTTCATTTTGCACCCATGACGCGAATGTGTAGCCAAAACGGAACAGACAAATTTTAATTAAAATGTCCGCTGGAGGGCACTAGAGGGCGCTCTTTCCCTTCCCGTTTGCAGGTTAAGGAATTGTATTTCTTCTTATCAAAGTTCTGAAACGATAAGTATATAATAATGTTTAGGTCCAAGACAAAGACTTTCCCCATGTATCTAAACTTTTTAAAATCATTATGCCATTATGTTATGTGGTTTTTGTAATAAACAAAGCCAGTTGGCCGGTCTGTAAGCAGATCAAATTCAAACAAATTCAACCTTCTTGTCTCCTGTTGAAAAATTAAACATAACATTAATTGATTTGCCAACATTTCGAAAGCATTTGACACTCTCTGTTGTGAACAAAAGATAGGATTTTCTAACGAAAAAAATTGAGCTCCAATTTCCCTGTAACATTGTTGTCTTGTTTACCTCCAATTGCATGCCTTGTAAACCTCCAGCAAACAACTACAGTCGCCCTCTCATGTCTTAATTCGATTCTGGTTGAGAGATAATTAACACAAATAATAAAATAAGTCACGGAAAACGAGCCGGGAGTCTCAGTAAATATTGCTTTTGAATATTTATTTCATTTGTAAAACAAAAACCTCTTCTAATGTTTTTGTGCTTCATTTGCAATTAGTTTTGTCAAATTTCCATCGATTACAGTTTATAATTCTATCCTCAGAGTTTTTATGTGCTCGTTTCTCTCCATAAT